ATTTTTGACCAAATGAGATGCGACGACGTAAGGCAAAATTCGCAGAGATGTGATATTTTCCGTATATTCACCGGACGCTACTTTTTTTCGTTAACATGGTTTTCAATCTATGACCTATTATTGGGTCAGCAAGATTTCGATTCTTATGATGATAAAGAAAAATGAGTTCTGCCCCAGAGAGTTAGTGTCCCAATGCATAGAATTCATGTTCTGCCTAAAAGATGGGAAAAGAAGTATTGGCTGCCGGGCAATTAATAAAAAAACATGCAAAAGCGCGTAAAGTTCTTGTTCTAATGCCAGCTTTCATTAGTTCTATAAACTCAAATCCCGAGAAAACTAAATTCTACAAAAATCCAAGCCAAACCAAAACAAATCAAAACTCAAGCTTGTAAACCATCACATAAGTATATGGATTCCTGAAGCAGACGAAATTTATAAAACTAAATTCGCATAACAGGCTTTGGAATATTATGAAGTGATTTCTTTTGAAAAGATTATATAGAACTTGCGGCCGATCCGATTGGTCAATGGCTACCATTATCCAGATAAATTTCAGCTTTCTATTTACATTTTCTTAATTTCTTTTCAATAAGGTATAGACAGGTAGACTCGGCTGTCTAAATAGATTATCGATATCGTGTAGATCAAACATGTTGACGCTTTATGAAAGAGAGAGAGAGAGAGAGAGAGATAGACAAACGGGAAGGCACATACTAAAGTTCCAGTTCCCACCATGCAAAGTATAGTGAATATGAATGTATATAGATATATATTCACCGTATAGCTAATCTCGAGTTCCCACTAAGTAAATGTTCTATCTGTTTCTCCCATAAGTCATAATAAATATATAGAAAATGATCGTGAACTTACTTAGTCATCAGCCAAGTAAAGATATGTGCAAGTTTCCGCCTTCTGCCTCAATTCTCCGCGTACATATACAAACATAGCTAATCAATCCTAAGACCTCTTCTGTTTATTTTTAAGAGCTACAAGCGGAACAATACAGCTAATCCATCTTTAGGTCATTAGCACAGATATGATAAAAGACAGTTTTCTTCTCATTATTAGTATTATTATTATTATTGTGCTTATTAGTATTAAATTAAAGCAAAATTCCTACGTTTCCTTATACAAGTGTGTTACAACATAATTGAACTTCTGCGCTTCTAAAAGCTTAGTCATATTCATGCAAACGCATGTTGAGCAATATGTTAAGAACAACAACCATGATCGTGTAGTAAGCAGAAGACTGGTCTTAAGAAGATCAACAATTCAATGCAGTTCAAGAGAACGGATGCAAACGTTTATTGCGCTCAGAGATATTGAAACGGCCGTAAGCTCCGTAAGTCGGTTGATAGCAAGCAGCCTTGAAATAACGTAATATCTCCTTATTGTTGTTATTGGTCTTGTTGTTATTGTTTTTTTTTTGTTATTTTTATTATAGTTGCTCTGTCTCTGTGCATCAAAAATTACACAAAACATGCCAGAGATTACGAACTGTCAGTTGAATGTCATGCCTAAGGAACATGCGTCATATGAAGTGTTGAACTAATTTAACAGCTGTTGAAAAAACAGCAAAATAACATAATATTTTCTTTGCTTTGCAAAATTGGCCAACACAAAAACAAAACACGAATAATGTGCATGCAAGAGAAAAAAAGGAATGCAATTAAAATATTTGAAGAAAACAGAACTGAACAGTACAGAGCAGAACAGAACAGAACAGAACAGAACAGAAGCCAACAATCGACAGCATTATTACAGAATTATGCATGGCAATCATGAACTAAATAAGAGGCGATATAAAGCCTTGACGGAGAAAGAGTAACAGCGAATATGCTAAGAAAAGAAAGACAACAATTAACTGCATATTAGTGCTATAATTATCACGTTGCCAATGAACAACAACAACAACCGAATGACCGACCGATTAACCAAACTTTTTCCCCATCCAATCCATCCAGCCTAACCGATCCAACTTCAAAGCTGTGATGCCAGTTTAGTAGTAACAAATCTACCACTACCACTACCACTATCACTATTCTTACCGCTGCCAATATTAGACTTACATACATAGAGAGAGAGACTTTTGCTCTTCATGTCACGAACTGAAGATGATGTTAATGCTGATCACACTGTAATTAGAAATTGTATAGCATAATTGTTATTGCCAATAAAACGCGTTGTATATGCAAGTTAGAATGGGTCGGTCGATCACTAGGCAAGCGAGCAAGCGAGTACGCACGGAAGTATGCAATTTCATGTTAAATATGTTATTCATATACAAGAGCGTTAGCTGCTTAACAACGATATTCCTGTAAGAACACGTCCGATCTTTGCTTAGCATTTATGCCTACATTCACACTTACCATATATTTATACGTGAACATAATTATAAGTTGCTCTACAACATGCTCTAACATGCTGTTGTATAGCAATGTGAAGAATTGTCAATCACAACACGCTAAACAAGCATGAATGAATGTGCAGTACATGTTTATCAATATATTAAAAATATTTCATATAATATTTTCAAATGGAATCACTTCATTATTGTACGTTCAAAAGCGGTTAATAAATATTTCTTTTTTTAATTCTTGTCTGGTTTAAGAGTTCATACGTTTAACTGAAGATTTAAAAGCTTCAGCGCCGTTCCTTCTTTCTGTTTTTTTTTTTTTTGGGCTTAAGATTTGATGGATTTTTCTGATAAGTGGGACTTAACTTGTAGAAAATAGTGAAACAGAAAGTATTCGCAAATATTTAATCGAACAAAGGAGCATAAAAAATTCCTTAAATGTTGAGAATTTTTGGAAAATAAGTGAAATATAAAAACTCATTTTCCTGGAAAATTATTGGAAATTAAGCAAGATGCTGTTGAACTCCCATTGATATGAAACAAATGATTATGGTCAACAACAGTTTAGCATAAATTAAACCGGAGCGATCTTCTTATCCTATATGCTAGAATATACCAACGTTCCCTGTGTTGAAATTGTTTACTTTAGTTTCTTCCAAAATTTCAACTGTAGACAAGTTTGTACGATATAAGCTTAACTTGCTACTCATGACTAAATCAAGTCAAAATTTTCAAATTCCGATTTATATGCTAAAATTTGGCATTGTTCAAAATGAGTTTCGAATCTCCCTAAAGCAGACGCTTATGGATTTTCGAAGCCCATTGTAATTATTACTTTTTCTCATTTCTCTAATGTTTACAGTTTTCGAAGTGTTGCAAAACGATTAGAAAATCCATCGCAAAGCTATTTTGAACTTGTCCTAGAAAAAGATGTGTTCAGATTTTGATATTGCAGCAATTATGCGTACAGTCGAGTTACACACTATGTGTCCTCGCCACTCAGTGTCTCCCATCTCTTGGCCGTCATGTACCAAACCCAAATCCTTTCAGATTAACCGGATGGGATGTGTTCTTGTGCGATCACTTCAATTATTCCTATATCTTGCATCCGAAAAAATATGGTACAGTGAAGACGATCTTTGTGGCACGTTTTCTTGGGACTATTACCCAGATTCGGCAAAACGCCAAGTTCAACAGTGCTATTATATTAAAGCATCCTCTCCCCCTTTAGAAGTACATTTTAATTTATTGTTTCTTTTACAAATATATTCCAATATGTAATAGTTAGTCGCTTGACGACCAGTATCTTCTTTTATAGGGTGGTTGCAGATGAAACTGATAAAAAAAAAAACAAAACAAATTTTAAAACGTTTAAAAAAAATATTCAAGTCGAGTGAGTAGAGGGCTGAAAAGAGAAACAAATAACGGCAATAACAAAACACATCCTATGCCAGCAATTAAATGCACGTTATCTGTTCAAAACTTTAAAGCGTTGATACATAAATCCTTTTGTTAACCTAAAGCGTAACATATATACAACATAAAAAAAAAAAAAAATATATATATATATATATATATATATATAACAAATTTTTTTTGCATCTCACTTTTCCCTCCTTCACCCTTAGCAGCGAACAACACTAATGCTAGTGTTTTAAAGTTTAAAGAGAGATTTAAAAAAAAAGAAAAGAAAATTCTATGATATAAACACAATAAATTTCAACAACTGACGCCATCAAGTCTCTTACTTTTGTCTTTTTTATTTTTATAGCTGAAATTCTTTTCCTTTCACGTGACTGGCAAAAGTCGTGTTAAATGGCAAAGCGAAAGAGTTTCATCAAAATTTTGCTTCGGGTGCCTCAATAAGTTTAACTTAAAAGTTGAGCATCATCTCGTCCCCCCCCTCCACCCTTAAGTTTATTTGAATTTTCTCTCTTCATTATCCTTCAGTCTTGAGTTTTCTTTCTTTCTGCAAATCTGACAAATAACTTTTTAAAAAACTTTGTTTTATAAATTTAACGCTTGTTCGTACGTTTGTTCTTACTAATGCTTAGCATACCCCCGCTACGAGCATACAATTGCAATAAAGAACAGTACAAGCCAAACCAACTATAGCATATAGATATTTTTAAGCATAGCAACATTTTCAATTGAGGTAAGCATGTCTGTCCGTCCGTCTGTCGTGGAATCATTTCTGGTCCTAAAAATTGCGCTGAGACCTATATATCTTCTTGCAAAAAATAAACCCGACCAGTAGGCATTGTTTCTCCTCAAAGACGCCACAAAAGAGCCAAAAAGAAAAAAAAGTTCCACAAAATGCTAGCCGTAGCAACTACACACAAAAATTGGAGTAATTGTTTAGCGGGTCCCTCTAAGAGTTCAAGCCATATATGATTCTGCTTGGCCTGCTTAACACGCCCTTGATTATGAAAATATTTTATGATTTTCATATCTTCACTTATGGCAGGCTTTGCGTTAGCTTTCTTCTGAGGCGAACATAACTTTTACTTGTGTTTCTCAACCATATCTATGCATTTTTTTCCCAGAGTGTACAATTTCATTTTGAAAAACTTTTCGACGCACTCTTTTACAAATTACCAAAAACTTTGGCTATCTTTCTTATTCTCTATTACCCTTGCGTTAGCATCAGCGACATCGTCGTCATCATCGTCATCATCATCGTCAGCATATCCGCATTTGTTGTCAGTTAACCAGCAGTCGGTAAGGCCAACGCCTTATCGAGCGTAGAACGAAAGGGAAGGCACATCTTCCTTTCTTTTTTTTTTTTTTTTTTTTTGCTATCCAACCTTTATGTTAATGATTGTGTGTAGAATTTTCCCGCTCTTATTCTCTTTTGATCCTAGATAATAAGCGAGTAAAAAATATACTTTATGCAAAAAAATAGTAGAAGGAAAAAGTTGTGAAAACCATTTTAATGAAATTAGAAAGAAGAAAAAAAAAGAAGTAACAACAAAGGCAACAACATTCCTGCTGCCTTGATTCACATTTCAACCACACATTGTAGAGCGTGAAATTTTCGACTCATTTAACTCGTTGTTGCCATGTCATATCATAAAATTAAATGACTGCCATCTTGAAAATATAATAATGGCACAGAGAGATGAGCTAGGAGAGTATCCAACGTTAATTCACCTAACAATCATAGTAACAAAAAAAAAAAAAAAAGAAGGAAACGTTTAGAAAAACTTAATGAACTTGAGACAAAAAGTAACCAAAATTTTGTTGCCTTTCTTCTTCTTCATCTTTTGGCTTAGATAACGTTTTAATTAAATGATTTTAATAAGAATCATAAAAAACTATACGTTTAAATGTTTACTTTAACCATTCATAGATGAGCGTAATTAGTCGCAGTAATGCTTACTAATAAACAACTAACTAATAGCGAATCTCTATAGGAGTTTATTACCTAGAAAACCCTTCAAGCATAATTTGCCACAAAATTAATTTACAAAAAAAAAAAAAAAAGACAAAACAAAAGGATTGGTTGGCTTTGTCCATTACCGCTAGAGTACGGTATTAACGGCTGCACAAAGGAATTTTTGATGTAAGTGCCTGAAAATCATATAAATAAATCTTATGATGAAACTAAATTTTCACTTGCCGGCTTATACTACTCCACTACTGCTACTATTGAAATACGCCACCGAGTGACAACTGTGTCAGCTACCGTGCGCGTTATTTTATAACGTTTGCCGCAACATTCATACATTTTACGCGGCATGGAAAATAACTAAGCTACCGGAGTTTAAAAAAGCAATTCTCTATAGCATCGATATAATAGCATATCTCTTATGCATTGCAAAGTCCACCAAAACCAAACCGGCTCAAACATCTTTCTGCATAAAAGAAAAATAAAAGCATAACAGCTAAATAAATTATCTTAATGTTCACATTTGCATTTTCCAATTTTTAGCACCTCCGGGGGTCATCAAATATAGAGATACAAAAACAACAGCAATAATAACTTCACACTAAACAAAATTTGATGCAGAGATTTTTGCATAGCTTTACCAATCTTGCCTGCAGTTCGAGTCGAATCTCTGAGTATCCGCCGCAATGTATTAATTCGATATTTTTGACAATTATTGCCCAATCATATCGCAACGAAACTGAATCCTTTCATATTTAAGATAGTACATGTCCAGCGAAGTCACAAAAAAGATTTATTTGTCCACATCTCTATGGTGAAAAATCAGTTGGCAGAAGAAGAAACCTATAATAGAATATCGCGATACAATAAGATCTCCTGGGACGTAATGCCGGCCACAATGATGACTCATTCGTGAGAAGCACACCCTACAAATAGATTCATTTAACGTTCAACAAAATATCCTTCCTAGGAAGATGCGGGTTTGCCCTCTTCCCGCTCAATTGTTCATCCATGGAAATACAATAAGTAAGACAAGGTAACGCCAATGCTTATAAAATTCCCGTAATGGAAAGAAATTTACTGGGAACTAGCTGTGCAATAAATAAGCAGCTCCTTGGCCCGTCCTCTCTATGAAGGCTGAATATGCTTATGCAACCTGGTGAAAGGCTACAAGTGACTTCTTGTGACTAAGGCTACAACACATTTTGCATGCCCATTATAAGCACTCTAAGCTCTTAAGTAAATCTTATACTGTTCACTAAACTTCGATTTGTGTTCTGCTACAGATCAAAGGTTATTCAGGAGACGGCAGGAGAGATGAAGTGGAAGATTTTTTCGAAGGTTTGCTTCCGACATGTGTTTGGTTTTTCAATTATCAATCATTACTACGACTACTTCCTGAACTTTGTTTGTCTGTTTGTATACGCGTCAAGCTCGGACTTTGAGGAGCTCAATCACATGTGAATGGGGTATGAAATGTATTAAAGCATTCAATGTCCTCATCTTTACGCTTTCACGCTCGATAGTCCATGGATGCCGAATGACGGCAGATGTATGCACGGCCTTCCATTCTGTGGAAAGGATGGCCTGCCTGTTCTTCTAGGATAACCACGTGAGTCATAAAATTCTTTCAAAATCCCTTTCTACAGGTTAACTTTAGGAAACGTATAGCTAAGTCCACCAGATAATTTCTTGTCAGTGTCTTGCTGAGGAAAATCTATCGGACCAGCTCATCTCGTAACAGGCTTTCTAGGCCATTTATTTCTTGTTTCAAAAACTGCGACAAGGTTAGTATACCCGGAGTCTGCGTTAAGAAGTGTAGAAAAACAAGAAACTTTTTATTGTGCTGTCATTGCAGTTGTAATTATTAAGCCACAAGCGTAACGAAATATGGTAGTAGTACTTGTGGCAGAAGTAGTAGCTGGCGTTATATGTTTTACACATCTGAGTACATGGATAACAATTACAAATTATCGATAAAACTGCTTTCGGTAAAACAAAAGCAAAATTCATTTTTCGGTCAACTTTGAATTTACGTTAATCAGAGAGCCTCTGAGCGGCTGATCTATAATCAAGAAATACTGCTTTCGCTTTGAAAAACTGCCGCCGTCATCAAATCTAGCAAGAAGGCAAATTTGTGGGCTGGAGAATCGGAACTTTTTTAAAAGCTCACGTTTTCGTTTTCGTCTTCTTTTTTATTTTACTTTTATTTTTTTTTTTTTTTTTTGTATATTTGGTCATATTGGCTGGTGCGTGGAATACATTAATGGACCCTTAGGGCTTGTTGAAATTATGCCATCAAATTGGCATCAAAAGATGTGGCCGTAAATTTAGAGACTTTGGAATTGGGTGGCTGACACATATATATGTATATATGTATACATGTATGCATTTATATGCAAACACAGATGGGCAAAAGTGTTTATGAACATGGAACATAAAGATTAAATTAAAATGCAACGGTCAGTTTGGCGAGCTGTTTTAACCCTTTAAGAGGTGTATCTAAGTCATTCAATAAAATAGGTATTTTTGCTCGAAAACCAAACCTGTCCAGAGTTTTACCATGACATTCAAACCTCTCTTAATGGCCCAATAAGCTTAATAGTGTTTTTTTTTTTTTTGTTTTTTTCTTGTTCAAGTTAATTATTTAATAACCAAATGGGTTAATAACATTTATTCGTTCATTTAAACCATATACCGAACACTGCAATCATAATAATGACGTTTATGTTGACGATAACGATGATCATCACTAACCGACTGCAACCAACAATAACATAAATAACATAAAATTCACTCGTCCAAGCCTTAAAAATAATTATGCATTTTGTTCATAATTTTTGTTCAAAAACAAAAAAAAAAAAAGCAAAAAAAAAAGAAAAGAAAAGAAAAATATAAACTGCAAGATAAAAATGAAACGGGAATGAAGTTACGCCACTCAGCCACCGCCCAGAATAGTTTCAACATCATTGAGGACTACATTGCGCACATACAACATACAACAGCTAGCCAAGCGGTCGTGGAAGGAAACCGACGAATGACTATATTGCATTTGTGGTTGTGCGTATGTGTGCGTGTATGTGTATGTGCATTTGTATACAATATTGTTGTTTCTGCTGTATGTATGTATTTATATATGATATGATAGCCTACAGCCAAAATTGGTAGGAGTTGATGCGTTGATGCAATTACACCGTAATATTCACACTTTTCGAGGTGAGAAAATTGCCAGCTATTAAAAAGGCATAATATCAGACCAACTGAATGCCCGAATAATCGACAAAAACGTACGAGTGGACATTTAGACGGAGCAGAGGGACAGACAGACTGACAGACTGACAGACTGACTAACAAACGGGGAAAAAGCACGATAGATGCATATGCAGACAGACAAATGAACAGCCAAGCAGCCATAGACAGAGAGGCAGATAGACAGACACATTGACTGACTGAGAAAACAGGCAAAATCAAATGGCTGATCGTATTACTTGTACGAAGTCTACTTGAATAAAGATGCTGCTGCTAATGTTGCTGTTGATGTTCATGTTGAAGACGCTGTCCAAGATAATGAAAGAGATTATGATGTAAGGCATCATACTCATAATGATCAACAGTCGACGCATATGGGCGCAGTTATTTTCGAAATAAGAGCAGGTTTCGCTCGCTACACGGCATGCATGTGCACATTATCAGAAACCCATAATTAACAAAATGATGAGTTTAGATCAAATCATTCCAACTTCTTGTCACTGAACTGAGAAGGCAGTCAGTACACAGCCGGGCAATAAGTAAGCAACTTTTGCCAAACCAAGCAAATATATTCGAAGGAAATAAACCATTTAAAAGGCGATTAATGCCGAAAATTCATTCGGCTGACCGGTATTGCTAACCGAATAATTGAGATTTCCATTAAGAAATCATTAAAATGTTTCATTCAGTTCGCATGTTATACGAACTGTCAAAAAGCCATTTGTTTTAACATAAAAATGTTGTCAAAGTAACATTGTTGCCGTTATTGCCGGTTTTATCGTCAACAACTGTCAAAAGTCAAACAAAACGAAAGATGATTTAAAACACATATGTGTTCATTGAATAAAATGTGTGGAAAGAACAAAAAGAGAGGATCTTGAGGGAGGAGAATTCCACTAATAGATTCACTACTCTACAGCATGCTGTTGTTCATTTTTGGCACAACTCATCATTTCGTAGAATTATGACTTTTTAAATTGTTGTCGTCCTTTTTCGAACACCACACAACATTTTACAAGTCTGAACAAAGTGTTGCTCAGCGAAATTATTAGTTTTTTCGTAGAATAAACTCTTTTAATTTCATTCGAAAGATGTTCGTTGATGTTTTAAAATCCATTCATAAATTTAAGCAAAATTGCCCAATAAAATAACATCAAAGACTGACAACACGTTAAACAATTGGTCCACGTATCGCTATGTTCGCCTTTGCAAATGTTATTCATAAACAACAAATTAATAAAAATCTAGAGAATGATACTTTCCTTCTTAGGACACAGACTTTACCTACATTAATGAATCTTATGCTTTTCCCTAGCTATGCATAAACTTTGATCAAACTGTATGACTAAGACTAAGTAAAGATCTCTTTAGAATTTTCATGTGGGCGTCCTTCTGTAAACGCCAAACCCGATGACACATGAGGTGACAAAATGGCAATTTTCCGGATGCTCTGGATAAAATTGAATAATAATCCTTTGGATCATTTTTTAATCTTAAAAAGTGCAGTGACAACAACTTTTTGGAGCACTTAAGGTACGGTTAATAAAAATCAGTGGGCGCGATGTTAAACGTGATCTTAAATTACCAAACATCGTTAGACTAAGTCCAATATTATCTATATAGGCCCACGGGTTCCCGAATAATTGGCAAAATTCTAGAAAGCAAGCGTCTATCTCTCAGAATTATTTAGACTCAGGATTATGAATTGTCTACACGTGTTTTTCAACTCTCTTCTTCAGCTTGTTTCGGCCCGACCCGAACCGCTATACATAGCCCCAAGTTAAGCTTTAAATATACTTATAGTGTGTTGATAATTAACATCTAGCAAGCGAGCTCTTCGAATCAATATGATTTGTGTACGTAACATAATAAAAGACATGAATTACAAATTTACTCCTGAGTAGCACTGGGAACCCAAAATTAACTTGAACACTTAAATTGAGCAAGTACCGACAAGGTTTCCTCTTCCTCTACTTACTTAAATTCCGCTAATTGTAATCCTTCCAAATCGTTATCGAAATCGCAGACGTCCGCTGAGTGACTGATATGTGTGAGTTGAAAGACCAATGCATACGCAAGGATGAAACGGCTTTACTTTCTCGCAGTTCCTTCGCGACACGAAAATTGACGATAGATCCCGTTGTTCAAAACTACATTGGTCAACTACGCCTTGACCAATCGACGTTCGGAACTTCCAGCCTGCGGTGGTTCGTAGCACACGCAATCACAACAATAGTGAGTGGATTGATCTTTACTCACTCAAACTCAATTCCCGTCTTATTTTCCTTCACAGACAACTACTTAAACACTCTGTTCGGGAAGATTGCTTAAAATGCTTTTGG